TTGTTTCTTTCAGATTGTAGAGCCCCCTTTGGCATTTCTTGTAAGGCAGGTCTAGTGTTGATGATTTCCCTTAGCTTTTGCTTTCTTGGGAAAGACTATTTCTTCTTCATATTTGAAGGTTAGTTTTGCTGGATACAGAATTCTCAGTTGACAGTCTTTTTCCTTCAGCACTTTGAATATATCATCCCACTCTCTCCTGTCCTGTAGGGCTTCTACTGAGAAATCCACTGAGAGATGTATTAGGGCTCTGTTGAATGTTATGTGTCTCTTTTCTCTTGCTGCTTTCAGTATTCTCTCTCTGTCTTTGGTTTTTATAATGTGTCTTGGGCTGTTCCTCTTTGGATTGAATTTGACTGGAAACCTCTGAACTTCCTGTACCTGGATGCTGTCATCTTTCTCCATATTTGGGAAGTTTTCAGTCATTATTTCCTTGGATGTGCTTTCTAAGTCTCTTCCTCTTTCTTCTCCTTCAGGTGTGCCAATTATGTGGAGGTTATTTCAGTAAAGGAGGTCCCATATTTGCTGTATTTCTATTTCATTTTTTCTTATTCTTTTTTCTTCTCTGATTGGATAATTTCATGTGTCTTATCTTTGAACTCAATGATTCTTTCCTCTGATTAAATCTGCTGTTGGAACTTTCTATCAGGTTTCTCAATTTAGATAACGTATTCTTTATTTCTAGAATTTCTATTTTTTTTTTCTAATTGATTCTATTCCTTTGTCAAGTTTCTTGTTCTGCTTCTGAATTTTTTTCCCAGATAGCATTTAATTTTCTATCTGTATTTTCTTATGACTCCCAAACATCCTTAAGAGGGCTATCCTGAATTCTCTGTCAGACATTTCATAAATCTGCTGTTCCTCTGCATCCATTACTCGTGTTTTGTTTGTTTCCTTTGGTGGCAACATATTTGTCTGTTCTTTCTCAATATTTGTGTCTTTATGTTGATGCCTGGGCATTTGAGGAGACTACTACCTCTTCTAGGTTTTATGGGTGTTCTTTGGTTGTGTTAGATCTTTACTGGTTAGTATCAGAGCTTTGTCTCTGGTCTGTGTGTTTGTGTGTTTTCCATTCTGTGGTGGAATAATAGCTACCACCAGCACTTAGACCCTGCACTGGAACAAATGTGCTGTCATATGGTTAGTTCCTGAGTTGGAGGAACTTCCTGTGGGGACCAGAACTGGAGCTCTGTGCTTGAGATAAATTGCTGCTTTGCTGCCAGTTCTCTGAGAAAGGCTTTTTATGTGGACCTTAATCACTTCTAGGTCTGGGTTGTGTGGAAATTCTGGCCCAGAACTGGATCTTTCCTGCAGATTGTGCCCCCTGCACTTCTATTACCCTGACCGATTTCCACTGAGACTAATGCACCTCATCCAATGTTCCCCTGATGGGGCAGCCTTTCTCCTGCATTCTAACCACTTCCAATGTGGCAGGCCATGTATGCATCCCTTGCAATAACTCACTAGCCTCTGGGAAAATCCTTTCTCCAATCAGCTGTGACTGCTTGCTCCTATGCAGGCCCAGGGGAATCTAGCCTGTGGTCTTTATGGCCTGTGGGCTGGTATGATGTGCTCCAAACCCCTCCTCTCCCTTGCAGACTCCAAGCAGGTTTATGTGAAGCATGCTGCTGCAGCTTGTTCTGGCTTTGATCAGTGTGCAGCAACTACTCCCCACCTCCATACCAGGCTGGCTCAGAAGTGGCCAGGGCTCAAAATGATAGGCACTATCACTGTAACCTCTTGCCATGCGCTCTCCTGCCTTCACGAAATTCACAGGCCTCTCCTTCTCTTCCCCCAGCTCCGGTGGTCCCAGGTTGGCAGTGTTTGCTTCTTAATAGTTGTAAATCTACCTGTGGGGAGGGGCAGTGCTGGGAATCATCTATTCTGCCATCTTGATGACGTCACTCTCCTTTTGTTGTTGTTTTTAAAGAACAGCTATTGATTTCATTTCTTGAGTGTTAAATTTCTGCTTTCTAATGCATGAATTACTTTTTGTCTTTATTAATTCCTTTTCAAGTATCTTGAGCTGAATTTGCACTGATAAATAATTGATGGCAATAACAAATAATTTATTTTCATTCTGTTTTGTCTGATATTAAAAGTATTTTAGATCAAGACTCTTCAGTGTGCAGTTTAGGCCCATATCCCATGGGCTTTGCAATATGTCCTGTTCTCATCTTTCTTCATTCTAATTGTGGATTTTAATTGTTTTTACTTTAATGTATTTGAAAGTACTTCTTTTTTTTATATTGATGGGGTGGCTCACATTTTGTTATTGAGTACTGGTTTTATTTCACTGTGATAAGAGAATGTCTACATACAATGGATGTCTCTCTCTCTTTCTCTCTCTCCCCTATTCTCTCTCTGTGTGTTCTCTTTCTCTGGGCCCCTAGAGTCTAGTCAATCATATCTTCGGGCAGGGCCCTCACACTATCATCACTGACTTGATTATTACGGGCTTGACTTTTTTCCTTCATCTTCCATTTCCCTTCCCCCAAAATACACCTACTCAAATCTGTTTAATGTGTATATTTAATAAATGCATAGTGTTGCTACGTGTATATTTTAATTTGTGTAAATTATATTGTGCTATATATCACCTCCTGTAATTGTTTACTGAGGAGTCTCCATTTGGTAGAGTAGTCACAGTAAATGGTTTTATTCTTCAAGTCATTGCCCCTGCACGCATTTGTCAAATCTTCCTCCTTCCTGCAAACATCATTTTGGGCAGAGTTCATAATTTTCAGTAACTTTCAGTTATTAAATACCCTGTTCCTTTAAAAGTTTCAATTTAAGAATCAATTAGATTTAATTCTCACTTAATGACTTACCCTATCTCCCATCTCTGGTGCTCTTGGCAGATGGGGTCCCAGCCTCTTCTAGCCTATCTCCTGGCCACAGAAACCCTTGGATCTCTCCCAACTCTCTTTTTCTGCTTGTTATTTTCATAAATTCCTTGAATATGCTAAATATTGACCTCTAGTTGGTTTAAGACAGAACAAATGCCCTATCTTAATTTATCTATCTTCAATGAGATTTGGTGTCCTTCATTTAACAAATAACCTTAATTTCGACGTAATCAAGCCTAACACACTTGCCCTCTTCAGGTTTGTGGATTTAGAGCTTTATTTTAAAAAATATGCTTTGTCCCAAGTCATAAAGATATATATTTTTAATTAGCTTTATATATTTTTTTAAATTAGCTTTATCTTTTTACTTTTCACATTCAGAGTTTTAATTCCTCTGGAGTGTAGTTATGGTAGACTAAAACTTTTTTTTCCATCTGGTGAGCCAATTTTCCCACCATCTACTGCAGAGTCCTCCTTTTCCATAGACTTGATGCTTTCTCTGATGTGTGCCCAGTCCCCTGAAGTGCAGGTTCTCCATTGCCACACTGGTCTATTTTTCTGTTTCTATGCCAGTACCACACTGTTTCTGTAATTACTCTGAAAATATAATTCAATTATTTGTCACTAGCTGGCAGGTCAAATCTGCCCTGAGTCTGACTCTCCAATTTTCTCTTCTTTCTCAAAACTGTCATGGAATTTCTGGACTATTATTCTTTTTTTTTTTTTTTTTTTTTTTTTTTTTTTTTTTTTTTTTTTTTTTTTTTTTTTAAAA